GGGGGGGGGGGGGGGGGGATGGAGCTATGTGCAGCGTGAAAAGATGTAGTCTTGCTACTTTTTTTTTGATGAAAACCCAGAGAATATGTAGGGAGATGATAATGAAGAGTCGTTCTGTCCTCGTCTTTGATAAAGTACAAGCAGATTAAATGAAAAAAGAAATTAAGTAAACGACTTGATGATTACGGTCACCGAGTTAATCGTATAATAGCAAAACCACTCCTTGACCAGTCAACATTTTACATGACCTCCCCACCTCCCCCAATTCATTCATTGTATCTATCCAACTACTCTATACCACGCCAGACACGCTCGAAAAAAAACATACAAGACAAGGTACAGAGCATATCTTCATTGCCTTCAAAAGAGAACCTCCAGTAACCCCAGCCCCCCCTTAACCAACTTACACAAAAACAAAAACAAAACTGGAGTTATCCCATCAATCGTCTTACATATTCACATAACAACCCACCTTACTCCATCGCACTAACCCACCGCCACCACGACGCACGCATCAACCCCGTCTCCATGCCACACGCCCTCGAAACAGCCACAATGACAGCGCCTAGGACACTAACACCCCCAAGGACCTTGACAAGCGCATAGCTCCTTCTCTTAAGTTCGTCGCTGAGATTGCACAAGCCAAGGGGATCGCGAGAATCAAGTCCAACCATAGCTCTAGCATAGCGATTCCCAATACCGCGCGTATTCTTCTCATCACCGTGTCTAACCATGGCCCACTCGGCTCTGGGCGCCGCGCCAGGAGATGTTGCAACCAGTGAACCTTTGGCAGCTTCTTGGTTGACGCATTCAAGTATCCATCTAGCGCGTTCTTTGCTTTGGAGTTCGTCGAAGCGGTCGCGTTCGTTGCGGCGGCTGCGCTGGAGATCTGTGGCCCATCTTGCGATTCGGATTTCACTGAAACGTTGGTCGCCTTGCGGAGAGTGGCCGTATCGCGCTAGGGAGAAGTTGGCTGGGGGCTCGAGGGCTTCCGAGTTGGCGAGGGATGTGGATGAGGCGAGGATTGGGGATTGGAGGTTTGAAGGGTAGAAGGGCGATCCTGAACCGGGTACTAGGACACCTGATGGTGAGGTGGCGGAGAAGACGGAAGATGCTAGAGATGCTGGTGCAAAGGTTAGCTTCATCACGGAATATGGTATTGCTATTGCTTACGATTAGAAGTAGCTCCGTTGAGTCCTATCGATGCTGTTGTTGGACTGCGTGGTTGAGGGGTGCTTCGCACCATGGTCGACTCGCCAGGAAGCTTTACCCTACGCCGCCATGCCACGAATTTCTTTGCTGCAGAATGCCTAAGCCAAGTAATAGACTCAGGATCGAATACTTGGTTCACTAGCGCTGTCAACTCTGAAGGTAAAAGAGGCTGTACATAGTCTGGCGACATAAGCAGCGATGCATCCATGTTATCATGGTCCAGGCCAAGAGTAGAGGATACTGCGTATGGATAGGTGGGTGTCGTAAAGGGATACTGGTTTCCTTCGCTTGAAGCACCAGATACTGGAGGCTTTGGTAGAGAGAGGCCCTGCACATTGAGTAACGCATCGTCGATGGTTTCTCCAAAGAAAAAGGGTCTAAAGGCGGTCGTTTGTAACTGGGCGAGGATGGAGGTCTTCAATGCTACAACCTCGTGCGCAGAAAGGGTATCCGATTTCGCTATAACGGGAATGACGTTGGTGAGGTATGACAAACGCTGCATATACTCAATGTCCTTGCTGATGTCTTTGCCTGTCAAATGTCAGAATAAATTATAGACGAAGCAACCACTTAGCTTACCGGGCGATAGTAGGTAAATTACAACGTCCACAAGGACGCCACCATTGCCACTGACAAGTCCGAGCGCATCGCTGTCTTCCAGTGATACGACAGAAGAAGTCTGGTAAAAGAGAGATTCCACGTAGTTGACGACGGTACCTATATCGTCTGCTTCTGTTGGTCCTGGTAAGTATCCGGGGGTATCAACAAAACAAATGTTCCTCTCCAAAACATTATCGCTACTACCCTTTCTCTTCTTCGGTGCACGAGAGTCGTCCAAATCAGTCCACCAATGCGGGTAGGGCTTTGTGCTTGCATGAATCTCTGTCACTCGTGTAGTACCCGCATATGCTGATTTCCTTGCACGGGATTTGGACCTGGATGCACGTGGCTGCGAGGTTGACTGGGGGGTTGGTAAAGGATCTACGTGTACAATGTCTTCGCATGCCTGCACGATGGATCGAACGAGAGACGACTTGCCGACTCCTGTGTCATACCGTCAGTATCCGATGCGCTGCACAACAACGCGTACTGTAGATGCCGAGTATTACGCACCTGTTTCAC